CGACACGGTGTTTGCTGTTGGTGAAGGAAAGTCATCAGGATGGCTGATTGACAGTGGGTTAACTTCCCACATGACTTCACACAGGAAGGACGTCTTTGATCACAAGGGCCTTGAAGCTAGTGTTAAAATTACGACTGCGGATGGGAAGAAGTTGTACGTTCAAGGAGGTAGCACGGTAAACTGACTGGATTGGACGGAAAGGGCATTCGCATGGTGAGGGTTCTGCACATCCGGACTCGACAGAAGATTAGCATCCGTTGGCAAGCTTGCAGAGCGCGGTATGAGTGTGGAGTTCTCGCGGTCGTTTTGCGTCATCGAGAACAAGAAGCAAGTGATTGTGTCAGTGACAAGAGGCTGCTTGACTGTGAGCAAGAGGAAGCATGTCTTGTTAAATATATTAAGGCTGACAATCTGTGGGAGCTTTGGCATGCTCGCATGGGACACACCAGCAAGGACGCACTGATCAAGACACAACGCTCAACAAAAGCTATCCCAATTATCAAGCAAAATGAGGAAACATTGTGTGCTGGGTGTTTAAAGGGTAAGCAAACAGTCACGGCATTTCCATCTCGCTCGATGACAAAAACGGCACGTGTGCTGGAACGCGTACACACATATGTCACGGGGCCTATGAGGACTCCCGCAAACGGTGGTGCCAAGTTTTTTCTTACGTTTGTGAGTGATTTTCTAAATACGTGGCGATTTCTATAGTTACGAGCAAGAGTAAAGTGGCTGGCAAGTTCAAGGAGTTTCTGACGCTTTACGAGAACCAATGGGGGTACGACTGTGGTGTTTACGATCTGACAACGGAACCGAATTTGTAAACAAGACAAAGGCTGGGATATGTCAACGGAACGGCATTGTGCACCAGCGTTCCGTTCCATACAGCCCTCAGCAGAACGGAGTGGCGGAGCGTAGAACAATACTTTAATGGAGAAGGCCCGCAGCATGTTGCAAAACAAGAGCGTCTCGACGGAATGGTGGGTGGAAGCGGTAAACACAGCGGTCTATTTAATTAGTCGTTCCAGCAATACGGCCCATCCAGACACCACACCCTACGAGCTGGCTTTCAAGACGAAGCCTCAAATGAATCACTTGCGCGTGTTTGGCTCGCACGGCTATACCCAAGAGCCCAAGAGCTTCAAGTGTACGTTTCTCGGCTATGCAGAGAATGTCAAGGGCTATCGCGTGTTTGGCTTGGTCAAAGTGACTCGCTCTGTGAAGTTGGATGAGCTTGAGGTAAGCGGCATTTACGACACGCGAGAGGTCAAGCCGATACGAATTATTCAAGTAATGAAGGATGGTGATGAAGGCAAGGTTCAGCATCAAGTGGATCGACAGCCAGTTCTGAACAATCAAATGGAAGCTGTCGAAGAAAACTAGTTGCGGATGTCGAACTGGATCATATGGATCACGCGCCATGCATCAATGTACAGCAGCTAATGCCTTCTGAGAGCCCTGCACAAAACAGACTTGAGGTTATGGAGTATCATCAACCTACCCAAGTGCAACACGAAGATCGTTCGGTGTTTCGGCCTGAAGTGGAGCGAACAAGAGCAAGACGTGATCCGGTGCTAATGATAAGGAACGGCTCAGAAGACGAAGAGTCAGCAAAAGGCAGTGAAGGTCCACTGACTCCGAAACGTGCTAGGATTGACGAGGATGGACTAATTGCAGAAGCTGTTCTTGTCAACGCTGTTAACATTGACGATGATACGACCTACCAACTAGGTATGCTCAAGCAATTGCAAGCGACGATGCGATGAAATGGCGTGAAGCAATGGATGCTGAGCTTCGCTCTCATGAAGAAAATCAAACGTGGATATTGAAGCCACGAGGGAAGATTAAACGCACAATTGGATCACGATGGGTATTTGCCAAGAAGCGTGATCAAAATGGCGATGTTGCGCGATACAAGGCACTACTGGTCGCGAAAGGATTCAAGCAAAAGCATGGCGTCGACTTTTTGGAGACTTATTCTCCAGTCGCCAACATGAATTCAATCCGGATAATTCTCGCAGTACGCGCCGAATGTGACTATCAAATGGAATAGCTGGACGTCGATACGGCTTTTTTCAACAGCGTGTTGACGGGACAAAGTTTTTAAGATAGTTCCGCTAGGTGTCAACAATGATCAAGAATACATATGTCAGCTAAGCAAGGCTATCTTAGGACTGAAACAAGCAGCAAGTGCTTGGAACAAGACGATTCATGTGTCTCCGTGAGGGATGGCTTCAAGGTTGCGGGGCAGATCAATGTGTTTATGTCTAGAGCACGAATAAAGGGTTTGTCTACGGTGGACTATATGTGGACGACATGATTATCGCAGCAAGAACCAGCGAAGAAATAAATCAAGTCAAGGACGTACTCAAGAATGCTTTCAAGATGAAAGAGTTGGGTAAGGCAGAATTTATCTTGGGTATGGAAATCGATCACGACAGGTCAGACGGAACTTTGATGATCAAGCAGGCTCGCTACATCGCGACTTGGTCAAGCGATTCTGTCAGCAAGATGCCAAGAGCGTGGATAACCCATGCGCATCAGGATTGAAGCTGTCATCAAAGCAATCACCAACAACGGAAGAGGTACAATCGGCAATGCGAGCCAAGCCTTATCGCTTTTTGATTCGATGCTTGCTGTATATAACAACATGTACTCGACCGGATTTTGTGTACGTGGTAACACAGCTAAAACGATTTTTAGTGAACCCGGGACTACAACATTGGAGCGCAGCAATTCAAATGGTAAGGTACTCGAAGACTACGAGCCAATTCGGGATCGTCTACCGAGGAAGTGGGAGCGTTGCGGTCAAGGCATACTCGGATGCAGATTGGGGCAGCAATACCGATGACAGACGTTCGGTTTCGGGGGTTATGGTCATGATTGCGAGCACACCAGATGCATTCAAGTCGAAATATCAGCGGACGGTTGCGCTCATTTCAGCGGAAGCTAAGTATATGGCTCTCAGCCTTTGCACGCAGGAAGGTCTTTGGACGCAGGCAATGCTAAGAGACATAGGACACGAGCAAGATGAAGCTATACAGGTTTGGGAAGACAGCTAAGGTGCGATCGCGCTAGCCAGTAATGCCGGTAACCACGCTAGGACGAAGCATGTGGATATCAAGCACCACATTATTTGCGAGAACGTGCAAGGAGGGCTGATAAAGATCGACTATATTGACACAGAGTCAGCTTGCGGATATGCTGACGTAGGCGCTTGA